TAATTCATATAACAATTATGTAGCATATTTGATCCTCAAATTAGAGAAGTATAATTTAAAGAAATTGATATTCTATATTCAACATTAGATAGACACAGAAGAACCATAAGTAGATGTTCAGGTAAGTATGGCTAATAAGAATAATGAATTTAGTTAGTCTGGTACAGATCAGTGGTAGCATTTACAAATGTATGAATTCAAGTTTTAAGAATGTGAAATTCTTCCTTTCCAGGTTTTTACAAAAGTCTTTGAATATTTGCCTAACTTTTCCTTTTCAGATTGTTAAACATTTTGAGAATTGTTTAATATTTCCCTTCAGATTTTGAAATTACATAAGGATTGATAGTTTAAGTAATGTAATTATGTTATCATAGTCTTTTGATTTAATATTTAATGAAGCTACTGTAACGTAAATGTAATCCTAAATTGAAGACAGTGCAATTTTGCAGATTACAGATTGATCAAATCACCACTGTGAATGTCTTATACCTTAGCTGGATCCCTTATGATCCTGATTTTATACCTTAGCTGGATCCCTTATGATCCTGATTTTATACCTTAGCTGGATCCCTTATGATCCTGATTTTATACCTTAGCTGGATCCCTTATTATCCTGATTTTATACCTTAGCTGGATCCCTTATTATCCTGATTTTATACCTTAGCTGGATCCCTTATTATCCTGATTTTATACCTTAGCTGGATCCCTTATTATCCTGATTTTATACCTTAGCTGGATCCCTTATTATCCTGATTTTATACCTTAGCTGGATCCCTTATTATCCTGATTTTATACCTTAGCTGGATCCCTTATTATCCTGATTTTATACCTTAGCTGGATCCCTTATTATCCTGATTTTATACCTTAGCTGGATCCCTTATTATCCTGATTTTATACCTTAGCTGGATCCCTTATTATCCTGATTTTATACCTTAGCTGAATCCCTTATTATCCTGATTTTATACCTTAGCTGGATCCCTTATTATCCTGATTTTATACCTTAGCTGGATCCCTTATTATCCTGATTTTATACCTTAGCTGGATCCCTTATTATCCTGATTTTATACCTTAGCTGGATCCCTTATTATCCTGATTTTATACCTTAGCTGGATCTCTTATGATCCTAAGTTTAAAATGCTTTTGACTAGTGATTGCCTTAAAGTAAATCTTTAAGCTGCAAGCTAGTTTTGATTTTATAGTTTGATAAGTGAGATTAACTAATGATTACATGTTAAAACATATTAGTTTAAAAAATGTTTTTGCTATTATGTATCTGTGATTTTATATGTGTTCATTATTATGCTTTTGACAAAAAGATGCTCCAAACACTGACGAGAGATGATGTTTCTATTACGATTGGCTGTCTCAATCATTGTGATTGAATGTTTCAATCTTATTCTGTTGTTATTGATGTAATTGATGTTGTGTAAGTCCACACTCAAATCTGAAGATTCCCATTGATTTAAGTATTGAACAAATTATTATTAAATGAAGGGTTTAGGTTATCAAAATGGATAAAAAGAGAGGAACTGTCAGGGAATCATTCTGTATACATGTTTACCTTTCGCCCTCTGACGCAGCCGCTATCTCCCTTAAGGAGGGGCTGCCCAAGCATGTTGTTGTTGTTACCAGTTTGTGACCGGGCAACTCTCGGTAAGAGATAGTCATTGTTGTGGGACACCTGGAACACATCCTTCTCGGGGTGTAGATGACCCCGAGCCATAAGAGACAACAAATGTGATTCAGTGTCCTCAGCTGTTTAGTCTATCTATTGAAGAATGTTGATTATTACACTCTGAACGTTAAAACCTGGAGCTACAGGAGGGCTCTTCAGAATTGATTGTGGCATCTCATCCGTGTGGTCAACTCGTGGCCCGTGATATGTCTTCTGAATACTCCAGCCGAAGCTCCAAATAAACCATCAGTGTTTGCCATCAAAGCTCCAGCTCTCCTCGTGTCTCTCTTTTACCCCTTTCACACCAACGCAACTCCGGTTCAAGCTCCGTGCTAGAGCTTTTCAGGTTCAGAACCGGTACTTCGGTTTAGCTCCGGCTCTTTTCACACCGCTCAGAGCCCGACTGGTGCTGCCGCTGCTGCGTCATGACGTCACAGTTTACGTCGCTGATTTTCTCCCCAACGGAGCTCACCTCACAACAACAACGGGCCGGGGACTGCGTTGCTTTTAATCATACGAAGCCAGATTAAATTAAATAACGACTTCTCCAACCTTATACTTTTCTCCAGAGTGCCGTGGTTCATTGTTTATTAATGTGTTTCAGCGGCATTTACCGACCGCTGCAGTGCTGGCTGCACTTCCACGAGTGTATTCTCCCGTTAGCTCCGGGTTAGCTCACACGGCTCTAAAGTATTCACTGTCTGACTGTCACACAAGCAGCTGATACATATCCCCAGTTCCCCTTAAGTGAATGTGTGTCAGTCTGAATTGACGCTGTTTGGCATCACAACGCTGTTATGAAAGTTTCTCTGGTATAACATGGGTGATGTTAGCATAGCAACCGAAGCTAAACTGACTACTTGCTAAGCCGTTTTCTCCAGGCACTTTTTACCGACGTATTTTTCATTATGATTCTACTTGTGATAGTCGGACATGACAACCTGTGCAGCCCATGTATTGATTCCATCCGATAGCTGCTATAATAACAAACAAAACGTCTGCCTGCTCTCTACAATGATCAATAACAGCGAACGGATGGTCAAAGTAAGGTACAAATAAACAGAATCACACGAAGCCTGGTTAGTGTTGCCTGACTTTATAAAGTGTGTTTTTTTTTAACAAGTGTGTGGTTGCGTTCTAGTCACTTTGCTCAGCACTACTGCTTGTTACAACCTTTATTTGCGGTACTCGCCTTAACTGTTAGCTCAGGTTAATCTCGCCCCCCTCCGACGTAAGCGTGACGTATGCGGTTCTTGCTTCTAGACGGACAACTTTTTGGTGCTCGAAACGAACCGGATTCCGGAGCTAATGCGGCTTTCACACCATCGCTTTTCCCTTTCTAGCTCCTAGCGAGAGCTTTTCTGGTTCAGCTCCGGTTTCCCTTTTCAGCTCCCGCTCTGTTCACACCGCCCAGAGCTGCCGAGAGATTTTCTCCCACAACAACAACGGGCCGGGGACTGCGTCGGGTCGACGATCGTGTTGCTTTTAATCATACGAAGCCAGATTAAATTAAATAACGACTTCTCCAACCTTATACTTTTCTCCAGAGTGCCGTGGTTCATTGTTTATTAATGTGTTTCAGCTGCATTTACCGACCGCTGCAGTGCTGGCTGCACTTCCACGGGAGTTTATTCTCCCGTTAGCTCCGGGTTAGCTCACACGGCTCTAAAGTATTCACTGTCTGACTGTCACACAAGCAGCTGATACATATCCCCAGTTCCCCTTAAGTGAATGTGTGTCAGTCTGAATTGACGCTGTTTGGCATCACAACGCTGTTATGAAAGTTTCTCTGGTATAACATGGGTGATGTTAGCATAGCAACCGAAGCTAAACTGACTACTTGCTAAGCCGTTTCCTACAGGCAGATTTTACCGGCGTATTTTTCATTATGTTTCTACTTGTGATAGTCGGACATGACAACCTGTGCAGCCCATGTATTGATTCCATCCGATAGCTGCTATAATAACAAACAAAACGTCTGCCTGCTCTCTACAATGATCAATAACAGCGAACGGATGGTCAAAGTAAGGTTTCCTGCACGCCTCGACGTAAGAGACGTAAGCGACGCCGCGTCATAGCTCCAAAGCTCTTGCCTCTGGACCGACAACTTTTTGGAGCTGGAAGTGAACCGCATTCCGGAGCTATGACGCGCCGCCGCTGCGGTGTGAACAGGGAAAACCGGCGCTTTTCAGGCTCTAGCTCCCAGCAGGAGCTGGAAAAGCGCCGGTGTGAAAGGGGCATTATGGCGCATTTCCATTGCAGCGCGTAGCTCGCTTTAAGCGTGCCGTGTCGTGCCGTCCCCTTTTTTGGTTGTGCTTCCACTAGGCCTCGTTCCGGCGCGGCACGGCGCGGGGCCACTTTTTCCCCTCTTTTCTGGCCCTAGAAAATTGTGGTTCTATCGGGGCCAACAAACAGGGCTGAGTCGGGCTGAGTATGCTAAACTAGAGAGAGGAGCGCTGGCAAGAGGGCTAGAACTACAACAAGATGGACATATTTGACCGTGATTTAATTGTAATACACGTTTCAAAATGATGCCGAAGTAACAACATACTGATACCGGTTAGTAAAAACCATGAATTAATGCTTTGTCAAGTCTGCAGACAGACGGCAGGCGAAAAACCTTTTAAAATTCGTGTTTTTCTAGATGGAGATTGGCTAAGCTAACGCAGTATATGCCCCGACCGTCCACACTCACAACAACGGCCTATACAGACATAAATACAGCAGCGACTGTATTCACCATGACACAGGCAGTCTGTGGTGTGTACTTGTTTAACTTTTGTCGAGTTTCTGAACATATATAAGGAGCTGTGAGCTCTGAGTGCTCACAGCTAACGGCTGTGTTGTGTTTCTGGATTTCTCATTGAAGATGACGTCACGGCTCCGCCTACACTGCGTTACTATAGTAACTACCCCAGTTCCTAAACTGTAATGGAAGCGCAGCATGAAGTGAGTCGGCCCTGTTAAGGCCCAACGCGGCCAAGCCGTACCGAGCCGTACCGAGTGTGGCCGAGGCCGACCGTGTAGTGGAAATGCGCCATTAGAGGCTACTCCGCTGCGGTGTGAACAGGAAAACCCGGTGCTTTTCAAGCACCAGCACCGAACCGGCCCCGAAACACCGTTGGTGTGAATGGGGTTTGAGTCCTGACTCCAATTGCTTCAGAAGTTTCCCCCACAGATACCGCTGACTCTCTCATGGTGACTGTCCTGTCCTTTGTTCTGTTTTCTCCTGTTAGGCCAAGGCAGTGTTCAGTAGAAGTCTACACTGTGTATTCTTGTACTCGTGTCTAACATGCAGCACTGCTTAACAGAAACATTGACTTACGTGAGGATTTACTGATGTAGACACTGTGCTTCTGTCTGTCCACCCACTCTGTCGTGTGACCCCTTAACAGACCTGATGAGACACAAAGACAACAAATTAACAATTGAACCACCTCTTCAACCCTCTTGAGAAAACACATTACAACTTCATCACTTTAATCAGAAAGCATCACACCATAGCTCAACAGGGGCCTATATATGGTCCCTCTGACTGGACCAATTGACAGGCTAATAATGACAATAATGAATATGTTTGCAGCTCTACTAGTACAAGCTTGGTGTGCGAAGAGATAATACATTAAATAGAAGATCTCTTTCAGATGTGCTGACTGCTAATTAAGTCTGAGCGCAGAAGGAAGCAGGAAATACAGTAGAATAGACAGCACACACACACAGACACACACACAGAGACACACACACACAGACACCTCAGGACTGTCTGCAGCGGTGTTGTTTCTTCAGCTACAGTGTGTGTCTGTGCTTTTAAAGAGCGTCTGAACTCCAGCCGCTGCCCTCAGCATCACAGGATGCCTTTCTCTCTTTCTTTGTGTCCTTCTTGTCTGTGTTGCTATTGCTCTACACACTTACACTTGCAAATAACACACACTCACACACAGTCTGCCTTGAGGTCTGTGGATAAGACTGCAATACAGCCTTTTTTTGGCGTTGAAATGATTGAAAATGAATTTATTCTGCAATGAAATGTGTTCATTTGTGAATTAATGACGAATATATTTATTAACATACACATCTGTATTTCAAAGAGTATATTTAAAGTTATTACATTTTCAATATATCAATATTTCTGAGCTTTTACTTTATCCCCAAAGAGGCCCTTTAAGGCTTTGGGCTGTTCCCTCTCCTGTAGTAGTGTTCTATAGGTTTGTGTGCATGTGCAAATCCCTGTGTTCCCTCCAGCGGGGGTCTTCCTCCCACACACTCCACACTTGTTCCAGAGCGGTATTGACATCACTATGTAACACTCACGCTTCCATTGGCTAGTGCTCCATCACGTTGTACGTAAGGAGTGGGACATCTCTAACCGGCTGATTCAGTCGTACTGGGAAGTGGGAGTATCCGAGTTCCCAGTCAGACATTTTAACTAACTCCCCGTGAGGTCGGACTTCTTACTTGGAAACTCGCAGATATGGATACAAAATGAAGTCTCCGCATATGAACATTAAAAGAACACTTTGATCATATAAAATGTTTGGTACTTCTGTATTATTAGTGTCACATTAAATCAACTGTACATATGGTACTACTCATGTTCTATCTGTGGATATGTTGCTACGATTTACAAAACAAGCTTATCAACCGGTATGGCTAACCATGGCTAACCCGGTACTGCTAAAGCTCTAAACACGGCTAACTACTTTCCAGCGGGCGTCCATCTTTTGCCGACCTGTGCTACTGTAACACAGTCAACTAGGATGTGACGTCACTCCCAGTTCTGGCCTACAACTGGCCTACGACTTCGAATGTAAAGTTCATGTAATGTGTTTAAAGCCCCCCCTTGTTTACAGTATGGTATATAATGAACATCTGGGGGAGAAATGTTTAACTGGGTTAAGTGCGTTGCCAAAGGGCACAGTAGTAGTATGACACTGGAGGAGACAGCGATGTGTAATCTCTGACATACAGAACACACAGAGACTCTCCCTCTAGCTCGGGTTGCAGCAGCACCTGACCCCATCACAATGATGTTTGACTGCCCGGTTAAAGGAAAGAGTATGTGATGTGCAGTTGAGTGGAAATGGCCCCAGTTTTATTGAACCTTCGCCAGCTTCAAACTGTCCTCTCTGAGCTACTTTCAACTGCCTCATGGGACAATACAGAGAGTGTGTGTTTGTGAACATGTGTGTGTGTGTGTGTGGGGGAGGAAGGGGGGGGCACTTTGATATCACCTGCTATTCCCTGATCTAAAACAGGTCTAGCACTCACCAAGTCATGACTGTCCCAGAGGTGTGTGTGTGTGTGTGTGTGTGTGTGTGTGTGTGTGTGTGTGTGTGTGTGTGTGTGTGTGTGTGTGTGTGTGTGTGTGTGTGTGCGTGTGTGTGTGTGTGTGTGTGTGTGTGTGTGTGTGTGTGTGCTTATTATGTATCGATAAATGCATATTACCTCCCACCCCCATACATCCCAACTCCACTCCTCACCCTCTAGCTATGGCCTTTGAACCCCGTCCATTACTGTGACACACACACACATACGCACACACACATTTTGAAGACATGGCAATAAATAGCTCATGCACACACTGGAAGGTCACGGGTCACATGCTAAAGAGGTTAGGGGGGAATGTCTATAACAATGACATCACTTCCTCAGTGTATATGATCTCTAAAGGGGTTGACATAAAGAGCCCTCTGATGGGCTCATTAGGACATATAATGGGGATGCTGGCATCATGTTCATCTGCAATGTCATTAGAAGTATTATTTGTATTATTACACCCTAAATGTCGCCTATGCCAAAAACCGGCCCTGCTGTCACATGTAGATCACTCCTCTCATCGTACTGGCAGACATTTATTTCAGTGTATATGAACATCAGCAGGGAGACACTTTATTGCTAGTCCATGAAATGGAATATGTTATCCTAAAAGGTAGTTAAAGGGTGACTTGTGTTGCATTCATGTGCTGGTGAGGGGGTCTGAAATGTTGGCTACACTTAACAATTTGTACTTCTGTCACTGTATTTGAAACATAATTAGTTTATATTTTCAAGTAGATCATCCAAAGTTATGACTGGGTTCCTGGGGGTCTTTTCTATCCCCTTAAGTCTAGAAGTTTGCCCAGTTCAAAGGCCAACCAAAGCTCTATTACTCTGTGCTTAACAAAACTTACAATCATTATTGGAACTCCTTAGAATACCTGGAACAGCTTCTGAAAGCTCAGGAAGGAGCTTCATACTGGCACAAATGATCAATATGTTAATCATAGTAGGAATCATTTAAACTAATCCAACCCTACCTTCTACATCTCACCTCTAAGACATGCTTTATTTCCATTTAGTTGAGATTAAGCAAGACTTCCCTTCTACTGGACATCTATAGGCATTAATAAAGAGTTATATTTGTGCATGAAATGAAGCCTCCTCCCGGGACAAACTGTGCTCAATGAACCTCAGACCCTGTATGGGAGCAGAGCGGGGACAAAACACAGCGGAGTCAGATTGCACACCCAGCCCTGCACCACCTCCAGGGAAGGTAAGAGGGAGGAAATGAGGATGGAGGATGATTGGGGGTGTGGGGATGAACACGCGGTTGCCAGGCAATACGTGTGTGTATGTGGATGTCATGCTTGGCAGGAGCTGTAGCTCCATGTTGCAGAATGACCTACTTTAAATCGAAAGGGAAAGAAAGGGCGAATGGAGGGACAGAGAGTGGGAGAGGAAACAAAGTGGGGAGCAGCTGAGAAGGTTCTCTAGTTAAGACTGAAAATAAAAGAGCAGGAGGGAGAGAGAGTGATGGGACAAAGAGAAAGAGAACTGATAAAGAATTAAAATGATGTTCGGGAGTGAGTCAAGCCAGAGAGGAGAGATGAAACAAAGAGAGAGCAGAAGAAAGGACAGGATGCAAAGTCGTTTGAGTCAAATACACGGACTAAATCTGAGCTTCTAATCAGAATATCTGACAAAAAGACGTCCAAGTACTCAGTCTTTCCGACAGAAGGTTACTTCCTTTAGGTTTAAAAACGTTGAAAAACACTGAAATGTATCCTTGAAACTCAGGAGCATTCAAACTGCTTCTTCTGTAGCACAGTATGCTGGAATTATGATAAAGAAATGACTTGCAGAGCATGCTGATGTCGCATTTGGGGGATTCAATTGCATGCAAGCATGAGGGTACAGATGAATCATTTGTAAGAGGAAATACTAGCAGTGATTTGGCTTATCAATAATGTATTGTAATGTATTTTTCATATTGTGTATTGCACTCCAAAGCTTTAAAGCTATCTTCGGGTGTTATAGATATCTTGAGTAGACGCTAGTCGGTTAGCATGCTAACTTTAGTAGAAGCCTCTGCAACACAATACAGAGACATAACAGTAACACTGTAACCTGTTTACAAACTGATTACATTCCGGCTTTAAACAAAGCATTTTGGAAGGTAAATGATGTTGATAAACTATGTTCTAAAGAGCAATTACAGAACTATTTATTTTTGTAATTTCATTCAGAGTAAATGGAAAGTGAATGTTGAGTTATGTTGGACCTATCTCACAGCAGACATTGTGTAAACATCATTGATGGCAGCATTGCTTTATGGTCCACCTCAATGGAACAGACCCAACAGAAAGGTTATTTGTCACATCTGTGCTTATCCAGTTATGCCTAGTTCAAGTATCCTTCATGGATATCTGTTAGATGTGCCAAGAGCAAGGACTGTCTTAGGTAAGACTGCTTTTATGTGCGCAGCTCCACTTGCTTGGAACAGTCTACAGCCAAAATTGAAACTGAGCAATTTCATTCCTCTGCATGTTTTTAAAGCTAGGCTAAGTGAAATGCTCATTGAAACTATGGATATTTGTAAATGTCAATAAGTATGTAAATGTAGCTTGTAAATATGTTGTATGATGTCCTCTATTGTTTTATGTTGTTTTATGTTTCATGTGGAACCTATTTGCTGCAGGTCTCCCTTGAAAAAGAGATCTATGGTCTCAACGGACAATCTGGTTAAATAAAGGTTTGAAATGAAATGAAATGGAAAATGGTCTTATGATTGCAATTTAAAAAATCACACTACTGTGTGAGGCTACAAACCAGCCTGTCCTCCTACAAAAAACGACCATATAGGTCGATTGTTCAGCAGCTAAATACAACCCAGAGTCACGTTTTAAAGTGTAGCACCTCTAGTGGTCGTGTAAGAAACAACATGCTCCCGTTGATTGCAAACGCTCCGGAGGGTCGTTTATTCACAAATAACCCTCTCTGGAAAATCCTAAATTGTGGAATAGTTTGGCCATTAAAATGCTTTTTTATTACATTTCGAGCGAGAAGTGTATATTGTACTCTTAGAATCCACGTCCAGTCGATGTGTAGGATCTATAGTTTGATAGATATTACGAAGAT